TCCATATGAATATTTTTTCATGATTGTACCACATGTTTTAATGAACCTTTGTAACCAGGAAAATTTACTTTGTTTCTTTGCATCATTTATTGCTAATTCAAGTAAATGTGCACTATCCCATGACACTGTTAACCATCTCTCTCGCATTCCTAGTTTTTGACATAGATGTTTTTCAATTCGCAAATTAATATAAGCACCATCGACGGCACAACCAGTGAATTGTTCTTGCAATGCATTTTTTTTCAAGCCAAATGATTCTAGTACTCGAACACAATTACTAGCTAAGTCTTCCCCCGTTAACTCTGTTTGACATAATGGAGACTGAAGATAAAGAGGTGTTAACTGTCCGTCAATCATTACGATCATAATTGTCACCTGCATCGACCTTTTTAATAATGTAACGTTATCCAATGTTATGCCGAACGGTCGACGACGTTGTGTAACAGGATCAACCGAATGTAAATATTCACTAATTCTGTTTTTCATCGTTATTGTCATCGACGTTCTTAGTTTCTCGAAAAACCATCGACTGTGTCTAAACATATATGCAAATAATAAGGTCTAGCATGACACTGACAGATTTATCTCTGGTAAAATAGTTTTATCTACCTATAAGTTCCAACTGATGCTCCAGAGATATCCAATAAGTTCAATGTATCAACAAATTTCAGACCACCAAGACCACCTTGAATGCAGAATAACGCTGCTCGACCAACATTCCATCCAGCTTTCTCATTTTTTCTTAAAAAATCGTCGAATAATTGCTTTCGTTTCTCATCTTCTTCTACACACCAGATGTGTAGTTTGTTTAAATAATGATGTCTTAAAGCTTTTTTTAAATTTCGAAAACGTTCAGATTGAACTCGAGTCGCGTCTTGTTCAACGTATTCAAATGAGCCAAACGAAGATTTAATAGTACTTAATAAATGTTTTGGTGCATGTTTTTTAAACTTTAAACATGGTATACACGTAATAGTATCCAGTTGATTATTTATTTCCATATGCTTCAATGAATATAACTCATTCGTACATTTGATACTTTCAAATAGTTGTTCAATATCATCCGATTGTAGAATTGACGACACATGCTTTTTTGCTTTGTCCGAATTCATTTGTTCTATCGTCTCTGATAATTTTGTCAGCTGCTTCGACATCGATAGTAATTGATCGTGAACGGAATAGATCGTCGGACTCGTCAAAACAACACCAGAAGGCATAGGTGAGGGATCCGAATGAATGAGTGATGGACGTGAGGGTGAAATGATGATAGAAGATTGTTGTTCTTGTTCCTGGTCGTCATTACTGATGGTATCTATAACTGTTTCTCTTCCTTGAGTTTTTTTTTGAAAAAATTTTTCCATATTGTTTTCTGCAAGCTTCAGTTTGAACGTTTTACCAGGATGATTTCTTGTACAATGGTCCTTCGCTTTATCTTTACGACCATTCCAATCACAATAAAAACACGATACTTGTTCTTTACTAGGAAACATTTCTACTGCTCAAAATCGTAACAATATAGTGATCTAAAGTCAAAGAGTAAATACGAAGCATGACAGAGTAGTGATATGACAAGAAAGAAAAGTAGAAAGAATACCAAGAAGCAAGATAGTCACTATGACTAAATACGCAACAAGCAAATCAGAGAAAGTGTCTAGTAACCTTGTGTGATTACTCTCACCATTACATCATCAATATCAGAACAAAACAACAAATGAAGCATCATACCAGAAGAGCAGAGAGCGAAATATATCTCATACACATACCACTCACATGCACTCACGCGCGCGGAGCAACAAAACAGAACATATGGAACTGAGAGAAAGAGAAAAACGAAGTATGAGGAAAGAGAAACAGGACAAAAAGAAAGAAATAGTTAATAACACAAAGGCAAGAAGCTCATAGGTAGAGGCATTACAGCTTGTGATTTTTTTCATATGGGAAAAAGTTATTTTTTCGAAACATTTCCAGGCTCAAAAATTTTCAAAAATTTCCCCAGATCTAAAAAATTTCCCCCACCGCGCGGTGCCGCACACGGGTAGATTCTGCACCTCTGGGTAGACCCTGGTAGACCCTGGTAGACCCTGGTAGAAACTAATAGAAAGTGAATTATTTTGTAATTCATTTACGTCATTCAGTGTTATCAGCAATATTGTAATGCAACAGACCTATGAAAATACACTGAGCTTGTTAATACGACTCCATCGTAACCATTCACTCACTATAGTATTTAGTGAATCATTTTCTTTCGTCATGGCACAAGCCCATAGTCTTAGTAAAATCGTGCTATGAAACAGTCTTAGCAATTTACAATTAGTAGCAGACAATGTGCTAGTGGCTCTTATTTCCTATTTCTCTTTTTCTCTTCGCGGTTTAGGATATCACACCACATTTTATCGAGTCGCAGCCAACTCTGATGCAGTGCATTCCTATATCGCAGCTGTCCTTCAAGATAATTCTAAGATCGTTGATTATGGTGCGGCTGATTGGTTTCAGCTCACTCCAGTTTCATTAGACTCAATTCTCATCGAAGATTGGGCCCGAAAAACTCACGTGGTTATCATTTCGAACTCTATCGTCGGAACTAGAGCCGATTGCTACAATCGCATGGGTAACGACACTCGGTCCCGACCGCATACCGAACCATGCCCAGAACACCATGAATTCATGAAGAACTTACTGGTTAGAGCCAACTTTGCCGCGACTGTGATGCTCACCTTCGGCAATCATGATCAATATCCGTTCGCTCTACCTAACAACGAGAATGGATGGCATCTCGTAGAAAACATTACTGCATCGACTCTCGGTCACGATGCTGCCACAACCTATCGTCAAACAGTAAATAAGGTGAACGATTATGGAATTTCTTGCATAGCCGACAATCTTGGGATTTTTTCAACACATCTTTGCAGAGTTACCTATTGTTGTTGCTCGACAGACTGAGACTATAATAATCACAAAGGAAAAGCCAGTTCCATATGGGTATCGGTGGATCGATGCTGCAGATAAAATTACTCCCGTCAACTGCTGCGTCGAATAACGGATGCAAAACTCAAACTCGACAACAAATGAAAAGAAATGCTGCCGATGCTGCAGATTAAACTCGTAGCTAGGTAAGACAGAATTCCAAGTCAACGCATATGAGAACTTATTTCTTGCTATTATCTTTAGAATTACAATTTGGCAATGATTTGTGATTTTCTTTGATTTTAACGTGTAATTAACCGTGCTTTTGTTCTTGTTGTGACGATTGATATAATTCAGAATATACTTTAATCGTACATGAAAAAAAATGAACGATTTGATTTGCCCTCTTACTTCCAAAGATGGCTTTAATTCATCTTTTCAAATATCACTAAAAGGTAAGGAGAATAAGGTTGAGTGACACTCGTCATGTTTATCATGAATTGATGCAATAAAGTTCATTGAGAACACAAAATGATTCGATCATTCCGTTTTAGTGTGTAGGTGTGGGAGAAGACATATAATCTGAATTCTTTCGTCCAATTTTAAGATCATCAAGGAGCATGTTATAACCACCCATAATTCCTTGATTGATGCAACATTTTACGTGTTCTTTGATGAAGACCGTATTACCTACTTCACAGTTAAGTAGACTGAGTTTATATCAGTTCGTCTTTTTCTAAGTGTCTTCTTTCAAATTATCAAGCACAGATTGACTATTATTATCATCATTTTTACACAATACTGGTTCATCGGTTGGCCTCGTTCATATATTCATCTTATTTCATATTCAAAAGTCCAAATATCGATTTGCACATAAGGAGCACTTATTCAATCCGTTTGAAAATAATAGCCGGATAATATTGGCGAATAGTACGGTGAGAATGAGTGTCATACTCGTTCGGCTATTAAATAGGATACATTTCAGAAAATTACATGCTGCAGGAAAAATAAATATGCGCAGGCCGAGACAGGCAGAGAAAAAAGTAACCATGGACACATGATTTTCTATTGCTAGATGGAGTTGTTTAATATCAGCTCGATACATGGTTAGACCTGAATCAAAATGGACTACATTTGATAAAAGATAATTCATATGGGTCATTGCATGAAAAAGAATTAGAAAAATCTGCATTTGAATGCGGTTTTTATCAGCTCAAATGTTTTCGCTAGACTATAAATACAACTTTCCTGAAATTTTTAGCATTTTTTGCTAGAAAAGTTATCGAGGAAGGCACACTAGAATGGTTTGGATAGGTTAAAAAACCTAAAATAGTTAAATGAATAGAAAAAGTTAATATCCTGAAAATTGTCTCAATTCTGATAATTCACTACAATCATCGACAACTTCAAGACAGTAGTGATGGTTGAACTATTACATAAAGCATTTTATTTCATGTTGCTTTGTTTTTAGATATTAAAGTAACCATGTTCCAAAAAAATGAATCTAAACTATTTTTCGATTTGAATAAGTTATTATATTCTGAAGATTCGTACTAAAAATATATTAGTATATTTGTTTCCGCCAATACGAAACAAATGAAGACAAGTCTATGTTTGTTTTACATGCGAATCAGAGTGTGAAGTACGCTCCTACATCGACACCAATATTCACACCTACAAGAGTTTTCTTGGTAAGGAAAATATAGCTACAAGATACATTCAATGGAAAGCTTTTGAATATACTGTCGATACACCCCTCAGTTTCAGCGTTTGAGCTACACATATCCTTTTGTTCATTACTATCCATATTGTTTATGCTTAGTAATATCCTAACTCTGATGGAAAATATGAAATAATTGACACAATACAGAAAGAAATAAGTGCACAGACTCGAATATTTGATTTTATCAGGTGAATACTTGAAGAACTGGTTTTCAAGTTTGTAATAATTGAAATCAAATTTCAACCTGAACATGTGCAGCCTTAATTGTACAAGTTTATCTTATCCAGATGCTCTAACAACGAAACTGTACATAAGAGCATGAATAAAAGCAGATGTTTCTATTCATGAGTAAACAGGAAAAACATCAGTCAAATTATTTCGGTGAAAAAGTTGTCGATTTTGGTAAACAATATTGTATACTTTGAGATGTATTTAAATAAAGCATATAATATTCAGTAATACCATAACCCCAATGTCCAAGAAGAGTATAATTTGCTTGAATAAAACGAAATGAAATACCACAGGTAATTAATGATACAACAGCATTTACTAACGATTTAGATGGTTGAATAGAAGTATAATCACCAATAACACCAATACCTTAACAAAAAGAACTTAAAATATTAAATTGTCCAAGTTTTCAAAAGGGATATACCAATTGATTGTGGATTATAACCGTCGCAATGTGCACCCGTATAATTCCATCCTCTACCTTCAAATACATAACCATCACCACCAACTAAAAAATTATAACCAATATCGGACCAATTCCTTGTATCTATATGAAATCTTTGCCAATATTGTGTTATTGATATGCAAGAATCAAGTGTGGTACATTGTGGACCGGTTGTATGATGTATGCCAACATTAGGCACAGGTGTTGATAAAATACTATAATCTCTTGGTTCCCTAGCATTCCAAACAGATCGATTTATTATTGTTGGACAGCTAGCTTCAAAAAAAATTAACAAAATACATATTGCTACAATCTAGTGTAGAAAATGGAATAGAAAATACCCTTTGCTGGTTTCTCTTGTACATTTTCTGGTCCCCTATTGAATTTTGTTTTAAAGATTACGAAACCTATAACTACAACCAAACTTAAAATAATAAACAATGTAATAATGCCCACTAAAAGTTTATATTTGCTAGTTCTTCGTTCTCTTGCGAGATACGAACACATCGTCAACCATTTACCTAAAAAAACAGATACACCTTATATATTCGTTCAAAATTTTTCTCTTTCTCTCTACTGAAAGAAAACAAATACTAGAGACATCGTGTATCAAGTACTGACTCAAAAGTACTACTATCACTGTAATCCACAAACCTTACTACGAAAATTTCAGTATACATGCTATGATAAAAGGTTGGTTGCAAGATCAAGGTTTGTTCTCAGATGCTTGAAAAGGATGGAGGTATGAAACAAGGACAGATTTCGTCTTCAGATACCTACATCGCATTTCTTTCAGTATCTCCATCTCTATGATATTTCTCATCCGACAACTTAATGGCTATGCTTTCTTCGATAAAGGAAGTTGATGATAAGGCACGTTAAACTTGCTCAGATACAGTTCTCTCATTTGGAACTTTTTTTTTCCTTAAAAAATATTGAAATCTTTAAGCTGTCACCTTTGACATGCGATGATTTTGAATCCATTCGTTTTCAACTTACTTTCTAAGCATTTTTATCAAAACTTCGACAAAATGGAATCGTACATGGTATAATCTCCAAGTGTGGTTAATCACGCTCTAACAAGGGATGATAACTAACTCGTCAACCGTATTTTAGCCAACACTAGCGACTTTTAGGTAGTTGACCATGCTACCTCCAAATATCAAAATGATTTTAGCCGCTAAGTCTTCAATGATCTCAGTTTTTAGAAAACTATTTTTTCAGAGTGAAAAACTTTTTTGGTCAAAATTTCTTTTATAATTCTTTTTTTGGTAGTCATAAATTTATTTAGTTAGAAGAATGGAAGAATAGATTATTGTAATATAGCTGCCAATAGATTAAAAGCTGAATGCACAATCTGAAAATGAATCAAGCAACATCTAAGATGAAGAAGACAAAAGTTATTACCTAAAAATCTGGAATGTAACTGTTCAAAGATAAGTGTAAGAGATCATCAGAATTAAGATTTTCTATTCATCTAGCTTCCTTTGTAATGGTTCAAAGTTTGAAAAAAGTTTTTTTTTTACTCAATTCACAGCGTTCTACAAAGTAGATGGTTGATATTCGAAATCAGCCTTAAAGATTACCTGCATCGAATAAGTTTTGTCTTAAAAGCGATTGAACAGTTGATCGCCTTCCCTCGACAGATATCAAGAAATTAGAATGCCTTTTACACTGGCAGAGAGATATATAGTTGAAGCTGTATTTCGCAGGAGAAAAATCCGCCATAACTAATCAGAGGGTCGAGGATCAAGATATTTTTTTTTTGAGATACCAGTTGAGTTGAAAAGTGACTATAACGATTTTAGGAATATTTTGGAATCAAAAATCTTCAGAAAACTACTATTTTTGGAGCAGATCTCTCAGAAATTGATCGAAAAATTATACAGAGATAATGCTATCGTCAAGGATGTATCACTCCAGAATATAGTGTTGGGTCCTTTTTATTGGTGAGTTTCTGATATTCTACGACTTTTTCATGTTTGCCAAAAATTCTCGATAAATCGATCTTACGAAAATATGTCATAATACTCAATGACAGCTTTGTCAAAACAAGTTTCAGTGCTCTACTTCGAAGATTTTTTGATTCGTACTGCTCACAAAAGTAGAATGCTAACAATCATTCACAAGAAAATCTCTCGAAATGCTCATTCTTTTTTGAGATATAACTTGTCTCATTAAGTAAAACCCATTGAAACTGGAATGATTCTACTAGACGTTCAAATAGTGATAACATAATTCAAGACGATTCAGCAAACGGTACAGTTTTAAACTATGTTATCATTAGTCGAAAACTTAATCAGATCGTCATAAATCAAAAACAAAAGGCCTATGTCGATAATACACTGTAAAATGCTTTGAATTTCAATAGTCTCTACGAAATAAAAGAAATTGCATCTCAAAAGTAAATGATAGTTTGGACAGATTTCTTCATCACATACATAAGAAAACCTTCCGAAAGCACAGACGGTTTAGCAGGACATAATTGATGAAGATTAAAATACGAATAGGAAAAGTATCATATGTATGTGGCATTTAAATTTTTTATGATTACTGAAAATTGTGTGAGCCATTAAAATCTCGGACAAATACAATCGATCATGGATTGTGAATCGATAGAATTTTTTAATGAAAGAGTACTTTTTACATTGAAAAGACGTATTTGAATGCTAATTGTTTGTGTTAGTGAGATTATTTACTTTTCTTTTTTTTGTTATTTGTTTCTTTATCTTCTTCACATTCTTCTAAATCAATTTCATATAGTGCTCGTAGAAACATTTTTGGACTATTGTTAATTATATGTTTAACTTGAAATACTGAAAATGGTAATATTAATACTTCTTTTTCATCTCGTATCATTGATAAGTGTTCAATATCAATAGCTGTTTGGTTTTGTTTGATGTTATATTTTAATAAAACAGATACCTGTGATAAATCATGATGATATTCTAATGTATTCTCTAAAATATTTTGTTTGTTATTGTCAGCAAATATTTCAGCAACCGAACGATTTTTTGATGTTGACAAAAATGATCGATTTAAGATGTGATTATCAATAGCATAATTCTTTAAATCGTTTTTCGTCATTAATACACCACGATAACAAATACCATCATATCTGTACTTATGTATATCTGGATGATTGATTACTAATGTAACAATATGCACTAAACAATTGATTAAACGATATTTTGTTGGTAATGAAGAATAAGATGATTTATCAAAATAATCTAATATATATAATGCTAGATGTTTATTTAGAATACGATAAAAATTATTTGTTAATGTATAAGCTTTGATAAAATATTTTAAATAGTTTTGTTCTTCAATTGCTTGTTTAAAACAAGACTCGATTGTTTTTGCTTCATTTATTGAAAAATGTTCTTGTTGAACTAAATATTCATTTAAATAGTAATCAATTATTTCGATCAGTAATTTCGTTATATGATGATGCTGATTATCATACGTTTTGTATAAATCTATTTGTTCACGAAATTCTTTACTTATTTTAATGAGATTATTACCAATTAATGACCATTGAATATAATCAGTCTCTTGAATATTTTCCTGAGGATACAATAAATTAGCAGCTTGTTGATGTAATTCTTTGATTTCGTCTATTCTAGATTGATTGTGGGATGTTGCTGGATTTGACATGTTTTGTAAAAGTGATTGCAATACATTATCTGTTAACAACATTTGAATAGATTCCTTGTGTCTATCACAACTAGCAATATGTAACTCTATATTACCAAAAGCACCCATTCGATTAATCGTTTTAATATAATTATTGAATATTAGATTCTCTTCAATTTGATTACTTTTACAATGGTCATACATACTTATATTTAATGTCATGTTCTCCTTACTAACAATTTCTGCCATCTAAAAAAGAAATAAATGTAGTAAGTATTCGCAGAGCTGCATTACTAAAGTAGGGAAAATGATAATGTGTCACAAACAAAATCATAGAGGGTATCTCATAAGTATTGGGCCTCAACGAAAATTAGTTTATATGCACACAGAGTCGTCTCTACCGAATTATCTCTATGTGAGCTTGGAGCACCTAGAATGTTGTTTTAAATGGCATATTATCCAAGAATTTTTATCTCTTTTAATAATAGTACTATAAAAAGAAGAAGCGCATTAATTAGAGTGTGGGTTATACAAAGAGTCACACGCACATCGAACAGCAACCGATGGATGCTGACCAGAGTAAAAACCGGTTGGGCAGTGGTAAACCAGTACGATCTAGCTCGTAAATCAGTCCGTTGGAATTACTTCACAGGTCAATGATTCTGGTAGCCGAAAATAGTTGGATTTCGCCGGAGTTGGCAAGTAAAACATCGAAAATAGTTGGAGCATGGAAACAGTATTTGGGTCGAAAAATGTTCAGATTAGGTGTGGGTGTAGTGTAGGTGTGGCTGTGTGTGGATATAGGAATGAATGCTGACACCCACCTGCACTCACACCCCCACCCTCTTATCAGACTTCAAGTCTGATCTCATCCGAACTTATACCATCAAACGAAGATCATATGGAAAATCTTGGTGTCCGCAAAACTTACATCAAGTCTTAGCACAAGTAACGCTAATCTGTGTGACTCGCTTAACCCTCGACTGAATATTTCACTCTTTCGGCAGTTCTTTATTGCCGCAGATACTTTGCGTAAGATAGTATCTACCATTTGCACACGGCTTTGTGTTGGTGTTAACATTAATGTGCACATCTGTGTCGACATGTACAGTGCTATTGATATCCTTGTGATACTGCTAGCTATACCATTCATTCATTTAATATGTTACTCTATCAACAACACCCAAAAGAAATGTACGTGATCCATACTGACATAGCAATATCCATAGACCACGAAAAAAAGTAGTATATATTATTTGCAGAGAAAATCAACAGACAAAACATATCAGCACGACTGCAGTAAAGATGCGCTACACTTCTCGAAAATTATTTTGATAGTGCGTATACTCATTAACACATTGGCCAGTGCCCGCTATGAAAAGGCATATTTAGCGGAACTATCAGACTAAAACAATATATTTGTTCAAACTAATATCTGGTATATGCAACTTGAGTGAGGCTTCAATGCTGAGTCTTCGTGGGATGAAACAATCAATTTCATATAGCCGGAAAAAAATTTGACAAGTTCATGGGCAGACAACGTATCTATGAAGACAAAATATTATTTGATTCCATTCAAATCTACTTTTAATGATTCGATGTAAACTGTTTTATTGATGTTTTTCAGTAAATATTCGATTTCTGATGCTGAATACGTCCAACCCACATGTTCTTACACTTCATTCAAATGCACATGTTAGTCCTCTTGCCAGTTCTTCCTCTCATGAAAACCAGTAAGATCTAAACGGTAGAGATTCTTCCAATCAATTGGAAGCTTTTAAATCGTTATTTTCAAGGAATTTCTAAGGGAGCAGTTAGTTGCTCGTCGGCGCTCCGATGGGTCGTCACTAGACATGTGCGGGACCAAGGTTTTTCAGTCCCGGTCCCGGTGTGGTCCCGGTAACTTTTTTTTCCATTGGTCCCTATCGTAGTCCCGGTAAACCCGATCTAACCCTGGTCCCGCTTCGGTCCCGGTAATTAATTTTTCATTGGTCCCGGTCCCGGTCCCGGTCCCGGCAGATTTTTTCCAGTGGTCCCGGTCCCGACCATGATATTTTTTTTTACTTATCACGGTTCTATTATCGATAAATTCGGCACAGTTCTAATTCCGGAGCCAAGAAACTCAATTCCTTCTGTCTGCAAACGACATCTAGCGAATAATTGAACGATAGTTATCCTAAATATTTCTTCTAATCGTATCAGCGCAAAATGATGATTAATATTATGAAGAACTTCAGCGACATAGTTAAGGATATCATAGAGTTCCAGATTTCAGTCCCGGTCCAGGTCTTGGTCCCGGTAAAATTATAAATTTTGGTCCCGGTCCTGGTATAAAGTTTTAATTTTTGGTCCCGGTCCCGGTCCCGGTCCCGGT